CTGCTGCTGCTGCTGCTGCTGCTGCTGCTGCTGCTGCTGCTGCTGCTGCTGCTGCTGCTGCTGCTGCTGCTGCTGCTGCTGCTGCTGCTGCTGCTACTACTACTACTACTACTACTACTACTACTACTACTACCACTACCACTACCACTACTACTACTACTACTACTACTACTACTACTACTACTACTACTACTACTACTACTACTACTACTACTACTACTACTACTACTTTTACTACTACTACCACTACTTTTGCTTCTACTACTACTATTACTACCACCACCACCACGAACCCCATCACAACCACCACCACCCCCATCACAACTACCAGCACAAACGACACCACTATCACTACCACTGGTACTACTTGTTAGCTGCGTAGATATGTACATGCCCACATGAGTAACATAAATGATGTTATCTACCGTCAGCATCACCCCGAATATCAATCAATTAGGTTATGTACCATGCACAAATTATACAATGGGTTAATTACGCATATAGTGTACTCCGCCCGGTATAGCAAGACAAACATTTGCTAAATTTTCTCGGCCCAAATTTCATCCAAATTTAACCCAAAATTATATATTTTGTTCTTGGGTAATATCAGACGATTTTACCAGCATCAACAATAACACGCGAATCTGAGTCGCGGGAGTTTCCCAGTTAGCCGCGCAGATGCGGAGAAGCTCTCGAGAGTAACATAAATTACGTTACCTACCAACAATTCGACTCTCCATATCAAGGTTGGTAAAAGTGAAAATAAAGTTTGTGTCCAAGGGTTGTTTGATCGTCAGGGTACAATCTGTTCCCGCTGGATAGTGGTTTGGATAGTTAGGAGATCTAATCTGTCCACTGGATGCTGTAACCTCTCTTGTAGGGCAGATATTGATGGCTTGGCCTCTGCTGGCTGTTGGAAAGACAAGTACAATAGTCAAAATTTTCACTGTAAATTTCGATCACTCTAAATACTCTTCAATTGCTCAATATTTCAATATCGCAGCATCAATATTGCAATATCGCAGTTGTAAGCGTGTGTATAGGCAATTTTCAAAGCAGGGTAACGCTGGACTTCACCGTTGCATATTTATGCAATTGTTCTTTCACAATATGATAATTGGCAGGAATCTTCAGTTAGACATGTGTTTCGGAGAGGTATATCTGCCAATCATCAGGCAATATACACATGGTTATATTAAACAACTTGGGAAATTGGATGGGGGGCATGCCCCAGACCTTCTTAACAAGGCTGAAAATTTATATTTATCCCAACACCATCCCTCCGCCCCTAATCATAAAATTCTGATTCTACTACGGAAAATTTTGTACTTTAGTTTACATTGTCAACTCACTAGTAGCAACACCGCGGAAAACGTATGCGTAAGCGCGTGTACTGGAAAAAAGGGCGAGGAATTTAAATGCCAAATTGTAAACAAAAACATGGCTATTTAATTATTTAAGGTAAGTGAAGCAAACAAAAAAATATGCGGGACTAACATTTAAAATCTAAAAATTAAAGAAACAGAATTTAAATTTAAAATTACCGTTTTAAACCGGGAGGCGTGTGAACATTTCTTCAAAAATTGTCGAATACCGAACTTAAGACACAAAAGTTAAGAAAACTATCAAGTCTATCAAAGAGTTAAGCATTTGCATACAATTAAGTTGTAGAGTAATTCATTCCCCTTAAATAGTCAACGCAAAAATTATACATGCTACGCAAAAAAAGTTAGTGAGAAAAATGTTGATCATATGAACCTACCTGTATTGTTCAGTTAAAGAACGTTTTATACAATAAATTTATTGACAGTCACCTTTGGTTCATTTTCTTGCTTAATACTACTTATTGCACATGTAAACTATAATTATTTCTACTTTTTAGGTTGTCACATTCATTATTCCGCTTGCATTTTCACAGAAAAGGCAAAACATCGAAGTCGCTTCCATTTTGTGTTTTAACGACATTCGGAATACTTGACTCCACGTTCGCAAGACCCATTTCAGTAAGCTTGACACGTGCGTCGACATTTTTTCGCGGCGTTACTCGTAGTATTTGGACTCGCGCGAACTTTGACCTTGTAAAAAATCACCTCACAAGCGTTTTTCCGTCACGAATTTGATGAAGTCAAACCGTCCAAAACGCGGTTAGAATGTCAAAACAATAGGACCCCCTACCACAATTTTATTATGTTAATGACTTCGCGACGTCCCTGACTAGAAGATGCATTTACGACAAGCACTGTGTGTCGACATTGGCAAACATATTCTTTCCACATTACAAAATATTCCTATTCCATTGCTACATACATGAAAAAATAGTGCAAAAATCACTAATAATAAACTATTAAAGTACGAGATAAAACATGAGCAGCCGATCTTTATCTGATATAAAAACTCAATCCGAAGGCGAGTGTTTGCATACCAGAGAAAGATCGGATGCGAATGTTTTATCGTGCTTATAAAACGACCCATCTTATGAGTTCATTGGTGAAGTACTTTTAAAAATAAACTTTGTCTAAGCCGAGAAAATCAAAGCTGAATTTTATGTAAATCAGGCAAATCTTTATGTGATTTACAAACATTGATTAAACATTCATTTCTTTTGAATTTTCTTCATGAATTATTAATAAGTTTTATAAGTACTGTTTAATAAATAAGCCGGAGTGTTTTAAACCTAATAAAACACGACCTACTCGTTTAAACGGCTTCAAACACGTCTACAAATTCAATAGATATACTGCTTTTAACAAGAAATATTATGAACAGGGATATTCTATTTAGTGCAAATTCTAAAGAAAAGTGAGTTGTTTGAGCAATATTATCAAGGAAGAGATTTTAGTAGGACAAAATCAATTATTCAAGTCTCAAATATTCGGCAAAATTCAAAACATGCCAAAACAGCAAAAACTGCCATTTAAAAACGACAAACAAACATCGAGCAAAATATCTTGCCGAGGTTAAAAAGTGCTGAATTTCCCCGATATAGACTATATTTTTAAAACAGTTGGCGTGAAAATATTCAGCCCAAAATTACAATACAAGGATTCGCAAACACGCACAGAAAAACTTGTGATGTCCTAAATAAATCCAAACCACAATGTACGATCAATGCTCTACAATATCTGCCAAAAGAACTAAAATTTACCGGCTTGGCTTGAAAAAATTCAGGCCAAAACTGCAAAAGATCCATCAATTTTAAGTATTTGGTTTGAAAAATCCAGGGCAAAAGCTTTCAATTGACCGTGCGATAATTTGCAGTAATGGGTGAAAAATTATGGTAATCTTGTTCTGAATAAATCCAAGCCAAAGTATACAAACAATAGTAAACAATATCGCGCTAAAATTCCAAACAAATCGCCGGTTTGGCTTGAATGAATTCAGGCCAAAACGGCAAAAAAGGTGCTTCAATTTCAAGTATTTGGCTTGAAAAAATCCAGGCCAAAGGCTTTCCATTCACCCTGCGATAATTTGCAGTTATGGGTAAAAAAGAAATGGTAATCTTGTCCTGAATAAATCCAATAAATCCAAGAACAACATTAAACTATATCGTGCTAAAAATCCTAACAAATCACCGGCTTGGCTTGAATAAATTCAGGCCAAAACGGCAGAGGTGCTTAAATTTTAAGTATTTAGTTTGTAAATATTTAGGCCAAAGCATTTCTATTCACCGTGCGATAACTGGCAGTTAACATCTCATAAGATATTAATCCATCTGATGTGGTCACATCGCTTTCCGTCCAGCAATTAATGTTGCTATATATTACCATACTAAATTATATTTGCCCGCTGTCGCCGATAGGGATGGCATCGGTAGCTAGTTAAGATGCGCTTGACTAAGCAGGAAACATCACCAAGGATAATAATTTCTAGAATCCTTAGTCAACCAATGGTACCTCCTTCACCCCCATGCGAGACAAAGTCACCCGTCAAACGGGGAAATTATGTTTCTTACCCTGCTAAGCGGAGCTATATACCGGAACCGAATGTGGTTGTACCCGAACTCAATGGCAACCATGGCAAAAACCCAAATGGCTGACCAGCAATCTGCGACGCAACTTCCTCCCCAATAGCGCTTGGAAGCTCGCGGTTTTAAATTCCACCAACACTACAACTTCTGCGAGAAAGCGAAATCACGCAAACAAAAATCGCGTTTGAACCACATTAGGGCGGGCGAAACGTCTAGTTGGGTGGGAAAGCACTATGCGAATGATGCCAGACCCACATTGTTTTACTTAATATATTCATGTATTGAATAATCTACATATTAAAATGACCCTAGCAAGTGACGTTAGCTAACTCCTCTTAATTCTCTGTTAACTTCCATTATTGTGCCAATAATAACATTTAACATCTCATACGATATTAATCATCTGATGTGGCCGTTAGGTCACATCGCTTTCCGTCCAGCAATTAATGTTGCTAGATATTACCATACTAAATTATATTTGCCCGCTGCCGCCGATAGGGATGGAATCGGTAGCTAGTTAAGATGCGCCTGACTAAGCAGGAAACATTACCAAGGATAATAATTTCTAGAATCCTTAGTCAACCAATGGTACCTCCTCCAAAATTACCTCCAACCTGTTATAAGGGTTGGAGAAAGGTAACCATTGGTGATACCTTGCCTAATAACTACCTCAAATCCCTTATAAACCCGCAATCGCACGAGAAAGAATATCGGATAAATTGCGAATATAATGGCGATACGCATGGCAGAAGCTTCTTATTAGACTTCATGCTGAGCATCTTTTATACAGACCGCCTATATAGCGGTATATACCGCCTGATGATTCCTTACTGATGAAACAGACTGTTGCGGAATTTTGAGGTAAGCGAAAGATATAAGACCCGAGACATTCGCGAAATGCCTGCATCGCGAGAAATTTTGGGCGGAAAATTTTGAGTGCGTGCGCGAATAATGACGATGCACGTCAGCAAACTATAGATCACGGCATTAAATCGAACTGAATTTAATCGCCTGAAGATTGTCCCAAATAGTGGCATGAAACTTAAAGTAGCGATAAAGTGAAACATTTTAAGATAACAATTCATCTTAAATATGACGGTTTATTATTTAAATAAATAAATAATAAATTTATTTAAACTGGGCGTTTCTTTCGATTTAGCGACACTGGTGTCAATGGAAGTTCAACTATCACCGGAAGAAAAATCGTTTCCGCAACAAATATTGCTGCCTAGTTTCACGTCGATCATACTTACTTGAGACTGGAGACTCAGTTAAGAGTTTGTATGTCAATATAAATCCCCTTCCAGAGCCACTCCCATCAGTTGAAAAAAGAAACGAGACATTACCATCTCTTCTATATGTTGTCGTGTTGCCGGCAGATGATGCACCACACGTGTAGTTAGTTGCACTGTTGTCCGCAACCGTTAACTTGTCTTTCCAACACTGTGAAGTACCTGAAAGCAAAATATTAAATAATTTACCGTTAGTTTGAGTAACAACGACAGCAACTAATATACAAGCAGCATCAAAATAAACGACTGAAACAACAGAGACAACATCAACAATTGCAACAACATACAACTAAACGACAAAATTACCAACAAAGCAGGAACAACAACAACATCCACCACAACAACAACATCCACCACAAAAACAACAATGCATGCGTCACAACAATACTATCAGCAACAGAAGCAACAGCCACAACAACCGCAACATCAACCACAACAATACCATCAACAGCAGTCGTAACAGTTACAACAACCGCATCGTCCGCAACAAATTACCGAAATGTTGTAAAATACGGAAAATATAGCCTTGCGAAGTTTGCATATTTTGTATATGTTTGTATTACACGCGGAAATTGTTATCATTTTTGAGCCGAAAATGTTAACAATTTCCGCACGTAATACAAACATTTACAAAATTTGCAAATTTTGCAAGGCTATATTTTCAACCAAATTTTGCAATTTTACTAATTTCATTGTTCTTTTTAGCTGATGTCTTTGATTCCCTTCTCTTTACTTTGATTAAAATTTAGTCTAACATGCAAGTAGCCCATTTTCTTGGTTAAATTTCTTGATCATTTCGTCTCATCTTTTATCATAGTTTGGTTAATGTGAACAGGAATCTGTTTATGTTTGACAGGACGCCAATGTTAACGTTTAAAGAACCAGACTATATGCTTCGTGGATAGTCTGGTTATTTTAACATTAACATTGCATTTTAATTTAATCAGTAAGTATTGGTCAAATAACCAGATTACAGAAAAAGGAGGTCAAAATAACCAGGAAAGATAACCAGGAACATTAAGTACACCTAAATAGGGTTATTTCTAGGTTAACCAGGAAAATTTTAACCAACGTTTTCCTAAAGTGTATTGTCATTGTCATAACGGCTTATTGACCGAACATGAGGTCTGTACTGTGAAATATCAGACCGAGGTTTTTTAGTTGTTTACGCTCTACTGGATCTGATGAAATTATCCCTGTGTGACATTGATGCACCAGCCAATTATATCGTTGAATATCAGCACGTGATACACGCGGGTGTTTACGCAACCCTAATCTTTGAACCCTATATAATCATTTCCTTATTTAGACCGCCAAACACGCAACAATCAATCATGCTTGACACGTGCTGTATGTGTGGTTTCAGTAATTCATGATCAGCATAGAGTTTATTTACAAGATTCTGTGATTTCAGTGTACAGAGTGTAGCCATTTATTCTGTTGTGTAGCACCTTATACAGTCGCTGTATAATGAATATACAGTCTAAATAATATCGATATACAGTCTAAATAATATCGGTACTTAATTGAATGCCCGTATAAAAACTCACATATTAACTCGCAATACTCATGTCTGAAATATTTATACATCTGATAACAACACTGTCTCGCTCCTTCCTATAGCTCTGTATATTAGGGAATATACAGTAATAACAATATTGGCACTTAATTGAATGCCCGTAATGTATTACATCGATTTATATGTTGCGTACAATCTCATATATTTTCTCAATATTCACGCATGTCTGAAACATTTATTAGCTCTGTATAAATGAATATATCGTTACATAATATCGGTACTCGATTGAATGCCCGTAATGCATAACATTAACTTATATATTGCCTAGATTAACTTATATATAGCCTAGATTCTCAACGATTTACTCAATATTCACGTTTAAAATGTTTATTGAAAACAACACTGCTTCGCTCGGTCCTTCCAAGCGGCTTGATAGCACATGCGCATTTGCGCTGCTAAAGAAAAATCCGGTGTTCCGGGGGGAGATCGTTTACACAACATGAAAAGCTAATGTTCTAAAATGTACAAAAAATTACAATAACGACAACGATTCTTCGAAATTTTTGTGAACTTGGCATAAGGCCTAAAGAATATTTAAAGAAGACAACTGAAATTGCCTAAATTACCTTCAAAGCACTGACTAAGTACAATAAATCACTACGAACATAAATCGTACACACACCCCGGAAAGTTTACCCTATGACTGACTGATTGATTCGTGTGAATTTCCCCACTCATTACAATAGTGTAAAGTGAAACTTTACACTAAAAAGGAGGTCAAAATAACCAGGAAAGATAACCAGGAACATTAAGTAAACCTAAATAGGGTTATATCCAGGTTAACCAGGAAAATTCTAACCGACGTGTTTCTAAAGTGTATTGTCATTGTTATAACGGCTTTTTGACCGAGGTTGAGGTCTGTACTGTGAAATATCAGACCGAGGTTTTTTAGTATGGACCGAGCGAAGAAGGAGCTAGCGAGGTCCATGCAAAAAGCAGAGGTCTGATATTTCGCAGTACGGACCGAACAAGCGAGGTCAATAGTCGGTTTATTATATGGCTGAACTGAGTCTGTGAGCATATGCTTTTCGCGCGAATTAAATCGGCTATCGTCAGTTTCACTGGGTAACAATATACGGTAGGCATGCATGCATGCTCAATCAAAAACAATTTGGTCGTTTGAAATTTTAATCTGTACATTTTAATGACACACAAATGGAAATTTAACAATTAAAAACTTTTTCTGTTTTTCAAAGCAAAAATTTCCCGCCAGACAATTGAACCACATCCGGGACACCGGTCCAGATACGGAAAATACGGACCACGGTCCGGATATGGATTTTTACGGACCGCTTATCAACCAATCAGAATAGAGAATTTTGAAAAGCCATATAATAATATATTGTTACTGTTGTGCACTTACTTTCAATATCGCGATAGTTGTAGGAAACTTCAACTTCCTTATTTGAAGGCACATTCAGGGTAAGTTTACAGTTCAGATTGGCGCCATAGTGACTGGCGAATCCAGGAGAGTGGACACGACCAATAGCACTGGGGGTGATTGTTCTGGTCGGACACACACTAACTGCTGGGGGCAAACCAGTTGCTAGAAAAAATAAACATGGGAATATTCTATACACAGGAAGTAGTCAAAAAAGTTAATCTAACTTTGGCATGCTTTCTTGCGATAGGTATTACATATATTAAATATTGCTTACTCCGATTCGTGTTGAATTTGATATCAAAACCGTTTTGTTGAACCGTACCATCTGTCACCATTCTCAGTCCGACGACATTCAAGCCAGTCACAAATGGCGTCGGAGTGATGGTCCCACACAATTTTTTTGATACACGTCCAGATATTATGAGTTTATCATAAGGACAGCCATCTGTAAAGTATTTAGATAAATAAATACTGTACATATTAATAATATCCAAGACTGCATATCTCCTTGCAAATTTTTATGTACCTTGCATAAATTATGCTAAATACCCATATAGTTTACTCCACATGCTTTAGCAAGACATACCTTAATTTCTGCTCAACCCAAATTTCATCCAAATTTAAGCAAAATTTAGTCAATTTGTCCTTTCGCAATGTCCAATAATTTTCATCAGCATTAACAATAACATGCGAATCTGAGTCGCTGGAATTTCCCACGATGGAGCTAAAGTTCGGAATTCTCTACTTGCAAATTTGCGTAATTCAGACACATTGTGAGTAATAAAAAATGGAATTCAGGCTCATACCTCCTAAATACTGTCAGGATTAATTATTTTGTGCTATTTTGAAACTGTTCTATAATCTACTTTTGTAAATGTACGCATGTCTTATAGAAATACATGTGTTTGCGTAGCGTATCGTAGATGTGGTTACATTGTCCTATATTAAAGTGTATGTAATGTTATAACGGCATACGTTCTTTAATATGTTATTCATACGCCCCATCATGGAAACGAGCTTTAAAGTTGACGAGACTACCGTGTGAGACTAATATGCAGCTGCTTCTCCTTCTTCTACTACTACTACTACTACTACTACTACTACTACTACTACTACTACTACTACTACTACTGCTACTACTACTACTACTACTACTACTACTACTACTACTACTACTACTACTACTACTACCACTACCACTA